TTTACTTGGGAGAAAATATACAACTAATATGCTAAGTGAAATCTCCTGGCATCTGAAGGGTTCCAGGAGAGACTGCACTTCTTTCTTATTATACTTTTTAAAGGATGTTTCTACTGCTTGGAGAAAGCAGGACAAAGCATACACACAGAATCCCTAATAAAAATCCCAGTTCTGAGCAGTATATATGTTAACTATTAACAATAAGCTCCTCCATCTCCCTCCCTGCTTCTCAGTAACAAATAAATGCATGAAAAAACATCATCTTGAGCTTCTCAAGTTGAGTTTGTCTAAGGTTCTCCCTACAGGTTATTAGCCTAACTCTCACTCTTTTCTAGCCAGAGGAACACTACAGTACAAAACTTTGTTCAAAACAGTTGAGAGAAGACACACAATTTACAAAATAATTCAAATTACATGGATGAGATGTAAAATGACTGAAACAAGTCAGAGTTAGAAGTTTAACCACTTATAACAAATTAGTCAGGTCTCATTACTGGATTACTTATTGGAGATTAGACAGTCACATTTGAAACACAGGTGTGGAATGGAATGTCTGTATCACCAGCTCCAACCCTGCAATCACACACACTCATCTAAGAAACAGTCAATTCAAAGGAGCTTTTCCCTCTCATTTTCCTGATTACCAAAATATTTCAGGCCCTCCAAAACAAAAACACACAAGTGACCCAAGAGACAGAAACACACAACTACAACAAACTATCAGAGTTAAGGTGATGAAGATTAAGGGTTTTACCAGTGTCATGATCCTCAGCAAGGAATTTGTTCAATAAAATTTGATTTTAAAAAAATCCCTAAGAAGCATGCACAACACTGCAGGCAGAATGAAGCCCACCATCCCTTCCCACATACACAACCCCTGACAATCTGACAATGAAGGGTGCAGTGGGAAGAATATTCCCAGCCACTAATCCCAGCATTGGTTTAATCCCAGTACACCCACTGTATATATTCAAATCTGCACTCAAAACACCGAAATGCTGCCAGCAGCAGCAGTGTGTGGCATTTGCTCAACACAAGTCAGAAGTGCAAATCAAGTGTCAGGCACTACAAAGAAACAGAGAACCAAACAGTGATTCTGTGATTCTGACACAGCTGCCACACATGTTCACAGTCCCCCCGTATCCCCAGCACTGTGCACACAGTCCTGGCTCACAACCCTCCGAGGATTAAATACATGAGAAATTCCAAAAATGACTAGCCAGGATGGTCAAAGCATTTGGGGCAAGTACCCCATAACCCTGCTTTGATCAGGTTGGAAGGGACCCCAGTGGGTCAACTGTCCCACCTCCCTGCTCAAGCAGGGTCATCCCAGAGCACAAGGCACAGGATTGTGTCCAGATGCTCCTGGACTGTCTCCAGTAAAGGAGACACCACAACCTCTTCTCCCACCAGTTCAGTTCCTACAGTTATCCCTGGACATTCAACTTTCAGTCACAGCCAGGACCAGCATACTGAACTAGATAGATTCTCACTGTGACACAGAACTGCTGTACTCATTTCTTCCAGTGCTTTAGTAGAAGATGCAAGGAAAACCCCAAAAGCTGAAATACTGCAATTATTTTTTTCATACATACCTTTTCCTGTGAAAATGGTAATAAGACTGTCTGGAGAAACTGAGTTTCTCAAGATCTGTTTGAAATAAGGTACACCCGTAGTTCACCTCATGCAAAACTAAAGGCAAAGCCTTTTTAGCATTTTTATAGCTTTACTGTTTCACAACACTTTGCCCTCCCATTATAAGCTATTCCATCATATAGATGGAATAACTGAGATAGATAGACTAAATAATTGTTTCAAACTCCCAAAAGAGAAACGGCTATTAGAAAATGAGCAGGTTTTTCCTTCCAATTCTGTGCTCTGTCCAGTAGATTACAGTACTCTTTTAAAGATTACAAAATAAAAGGATAATGTATTCACACAATCTGCTACATTCAAGGGAACTACCGAGTTCAATTCTGGTCAATACATCTCAAAGACAGAGCTGCTAGGGGGAAAGTGCCAAAAGACAAACAAGTAGAATGAGAAACCTGGAAAAAAATCATTCACAGAAGTGGAGACTGAAAAGGCAAGGACTGCTCAGTTTAATAGAAAGGTAAAAGAGGGAACAGAATTCTACAGATGAGGAGAATTTATTTTATTTCTTTCATATAAAGGATATTGAATGCAAAAAAATATTTTGAAACTAGTAACAGAGAATTTACAGAGTACCTAAGTTAACCTGTGGCAACATATAATGTTGGAGGCACAGAGCTAAACAGGGCTCCAGGAAAAATGCCTGAGACGCATAGAAGAACAATGGCACCAATCCAACTTTCAGTGAATAAAAATACTGAATGAAAATAAACTCTCGTGCAGCAGGGCACGTGTCTGCCTCCAACTGACAACATTTAGGAAGACTCTTCTCAAAGCTGCTCTCCAAAAGTTTTCTTTGTGGCTTTGTTTTGTTGATGGTTTTTTTCTTCTTCCTTCAAAGCCTTTGCAAACTGACCACTGTCAGAGGAAACAAGATAGTCTCTGTGTTTGATTCACCAAGCAGCTCTTATGTTGTAAGGAGTATGTAACACAATTACTCTTAGCATCCTACTGGGAAGGTACTGGATTTTTAACATCAATAGTTCAAAACATCCTTCAAAAACAAATCTCTAAGTCTCCTACTGCTGAATTCTGTTACCAGGCAGAAGTGGGGACAAAACCAACCTGGGCACAGCAGTGGGGGAGAGAGGGGAATTCCTGATAGCCTGATCCTTAGAAGGAGAAATTTCAGTTTGCTACCTCCACACTGAGCCATATTCATTCACTCGCAGCCAAACACCTCTGAACTATCAGTGACCACACTCAAGTGACCATCCCCTCTTAAAACAGCAGAGAAATCAAAATTCTATTTCAGAGCTCTCCCCTACCACCCCCTTACTGAGAGTTTTTTTTCTAGTATTGACACACACATACACAGATATATAAAAATATATCTAAGCCTGAGTTAGAAAGCTTTAGCACAGTGGAAGGAAAAATAAATAAATAAATGTCAAGGTCTGCGTGTATTCAACAAATAAAAGCAGAATTATATAAAAGCAACAGCTAATAAAAAAGATTGTTCTGTGCTGCATTTTCCATCTTTCCAACCATTATAGGAATAAAATTATCCTCAGAGAAGATCAAAAACCTTTTTCAAAACTAATACAATTAAGCTTTATTACACTGTTTCAAGTACATTTCTCTCTTTTCCCTTCTAGCCCCCACCACCTCCCACTCCAATCCAGACTAACAGTTGGAGGCATTCTTCTATTTTATTACCAGCAAAATGCTAGTCTTTAAGGGTCAGAAACTACGCAGTGTTTCAAGAGAGGAAAGAAAACCTGTTCTTTTTATCTATTTGCTTTTGTACACATAACAACTAGCAGACAGTTTCTCTGTAGCTCTGCAGTTTGAATAGGACTATGGGCAGCCCACCTTACTCCCCCAAGAAGATCCCACACTAAAATATCCATCACATCGTTTATAAAGGTGTCCCTGTAGCAAGGGACATGGACTCGAAAACACAAATGACAACAAAAGATTTCAAAAAGAGGACAATGAAGCCTGGACACAAACTTCTCCCCACTCCACTGTCCATAAAGGACAGACACACAGGTTTGCCTTGCAATTTCCGCTTCATGAAACCAGATCCGGAGAGAGGAACATAATAGAAGCAAACAGCATGGGACCAAGAAATTGCAAAAATTCCCTTTGCGTATGAACATATGGACAACTGTGATAATTAGAGTGATAGCTGCTAGATTGTTTGCAATTTCACTGAACAATCCCCATTATCTAGAAATAGAATTTAAAATACGAATGCAACACTGAGTGGTAGTTTTAATAGTTTATTTTTAATGAATTGTACGGATTAAAGTGTTGTAAAATTGTATCATGTGAATTTGCTCACAGGCATGTTTTACCACTGATGGCTCAAAAAAATGTAGCATGGACAGTCATACAGTAGGAGGGAATGAAAAGAGGAATAGATATGCCAACAGCTTCCTACCGTTCCTATAATCTACAATTTTCCCATGGTCCGTACTCACCATCCTGCTACATGGTGGTAGTAAAACTGATTGATTTCTCTGTCTCTTTACAATCCACCCTTTTCATTGTTTGCACTTCTTTTTAGTCACATAACACAACTACAAGTCGAATGTATGCAACTCCCTGTCAGGAGGTCTAATTGCTTCAAATTGGAGAAGATTATGCTCCACATTTATTAAAAAATAAAGACTACTTATAACATTATTTCATTTTGCCAGGAAGTGAGGAACACATTAGTTCATAAGGAACAGCATGGCTGCTCCTATTTTTATGGCATCAATTTTTAAAAACTCATCATGGTAAACAATTAAACAGAGAAGCAAATCCCACGTTTAGGGGAGAGATTCAAATCCCTAAATGGATTTTCAAAGGTCATTTCAGGCTTAAAAGATGCTTGACAGTGTCTCTTTAAATCATGTTCATTTCAAAGGCTTATCCAGCAAGAAGCAGGCAGTGTACTGCAGCACCACTCTTTGAACTGTTTGGCTCCCCAGAGAAAAATTAATAATACAACTTTAATTCATATTTATAGCAAAATTTATTCTGTGGTGGTTGATTTTTTTTTTTTATTAAGGAAAGGATTTTTAACAAAAGGAATAAAAAACAGGGCACTTGTTTGTTTTTTTCAATTCAGCTTTCACCTAAATCCCATGGTGAAAAGGATAATAGTTTGAAGTACTATAAATCATTTTTAAAAAATCATCCAGTTAAAAAACCCTTTATCTTTCAAAGGCAAATTGCTCAAAAGATTTGTGCAGCTTTTTCATCACTTACGTAAGGGGTGGGGGGCAGAAAAGATACTGTCAGCTGACAGTTCACGTTGCAGGACAACACCTCTTGGTTCTCTGTCTTTTGGATCCACACAGATTCATGTCCTACCCCTGCAGGGGCCAGAAATAAACACAGCTCAGCCTTACCTTCTTCTCAATGCGGGAAAACTGCTCTTTATAGAAGTTCTCTTGTAGCTTCAACTCTGCCTCCCTGCGTTCCAGCTCCATAGCCTGGGAAGGATAACAAAACAGCATCAGTAGAAGAAGAAATTAAAAATGAACAATATAGTGCAAGGAAAGTACATGTGATACAGACTGGAAGGAACTAAAAATAAATCACTGCTCAGGACTCCTGCATGGGATCCCCTCAGTGGAACTACAAACCTTAAGAATTGCAGCTCATTTTGGGTTATCCCCCGACATTCGAAATGCTCTTATTAGCATCATACTTGAACTCAAACCCTTGATTTTACACTTCTTATTAAATGAAAATATATAATCATAGAAAGCTGACACCTTCCCATTCCCTTTTTCAGAACTCCATCTTATCCATGTCTGTTTTTCCACGCATCATGAAAGTCATTACTCAAATGTTCTTCACCTTACCTGAAAAAAAACCCACCAAATCCTCTCAAATCCTCCTCTTTATAAACCCTTGCCCCTTGGAGTGTCCAAAAGCTTCTAAGGATTAAATACTTCTCTACAACAGACATACATAGGATATCCAGATAATTAAGTGCTCTCTCTGTGCATTCCCCATCAGCACCCTCACAGTTCCTCTGGCTGGTGCTGCAGACTCAGAGGAGAGATGGCTGTCAGAGAATTTCTCTTCTATCTTCCAAATTATAAGCACAACACTTTCAAAACAGTATATCTGGTATTCATCAGCTAAACAGTGCTCAACTAAAAAGTCTGTGTGGGCACAGCAACAGCTGTAGCCTTCTAGCTCCTTACAGCCAGCACCACTTCATTATATTCCCATCCCTAAACTGAACCAGCATTAAGAAAACATGACATTGATGGAACTGAATCTAACTTTTGAAGTTTAAAAATAACAAGAAACAATAGCAAGAAAAGATGGCGGCTGTTCTTCATCCCCCATCCCACCTCAAAATCTCTGGGGCCATGGAAGTTAACAGCAGGCAGAAGACCTTTCAAAACCAAAATGATTAGCCTGCTTAACATGGACACAAACCCTGCCAGTCCACAGCATCCCAGCAACATTCTCTTAACTTCTAATGATGGTATGACCACAGAAAATGCTGGTCCAACATGATTAAGCAGCTGGGACAGAAATATCCCCGTGGGCTCAGACCTGTCATTTTACGGCCAAAAGCCATTGCTAACGAGAAAAATTACATCTGAAAGCAAGTTGCTGTGCATGTCCTTCTTTCTGCTCCTCTGCTGATGGAAATACAGTGGTATAATAGGGCTTAGAAGAGATTTCAATCTAGGCAGTGAGGGTGGTTGATAAGCAGGCAAGAAAAGGATTATATGAAATAGGAAGATTGTAGGGGTGTGGTGGTGAACTGGGTTTCTTTGTTTTTAAAAAAATAAATATTTTTGTTTCTATATTTGCTATCCCAGAAAACAGGACCAGGATAAAACACAAGCAGTAGAGACTCATATCTAAATCTTCTCTCTCTCAAAGGCACTTGATCAAAAGCAAAATCTCTGGCCTTGTTTTAACCTATAGCTGCCATGCTACCTGGAAACCAGCTGGAATAAGATGGGAACAGGGATGAGAATGAGCTACCCCATACATGCAGCCTGACAAAAGAGAAAGCACAGCAAAAATAGGGGCACCGATGGGTACTATGTAAGTGCCAGAACTATAACCATTTCCTGGTAAGGGAACCATAGCTATTCCTCTGAACTGATCTTCTAAATAGAAAAGGACTAAGAAATTTCAAATTAAATGAAACAGATTAAAAAAGGTGGGATTGTCTAGTGGATGATCAAAGGACCCCAATTCTCCTGCAGGTTTTCTGCATAACACCCATAAAAATCAGAATATTCTGCAGGTTACTTGCATTTCTTTAAGGGGAAAATAAGTAAGAAAGAGAAAGAAGAGTAAGACAGTACTACTGGTCCCTTTGCATGATTCAGATGGAAAGTGCCTCATATGATGGAGGAAAAAAAGAAAAGAGAGTGAAATAATAAATTCTTTCAATAACTCAAGAAAATTTCTGTTTAATCTAAATAATTATGTATCATTGCTAGTCTCCTGGGATAGTGGATATTCTGGAAGTACAAAATCAATGTAACAAATCAAATGTAACAATACTAGTGTGCAAGAGGCTTTATTCTGTTTCTGGAAAGACATGGATCACAAACCCACACACTCAGCCACCTTTCCAACCTGTGAGTTTGTGTGACATCATTCACCAAGAAATCCAGCACATTGATCCTTACAACCCCTCTGGAAGGGAACACAATCTCTCAAGTAGGGTGCCGAGATGCAGACATTAGGGGTGTGCTACTCTGCACAATGACAACCCCTAGACTGCGAGCTGACCTCACTGGAGCTGGCAGTGAATAATGCCTCCACACCCATGCACCCTGCACTAACATTCTGTTAGTCACTTCCCCAGGCTCTTGCAAAACTGAGGTCAAGGAACAAAAACTGGATCTCCCAACTGCAGACTATAACCTCAGACTACAACCCCATTCTTCCCCCTAAGTAATTTCTCCCATATTATCCCCCATTGTCCCACTTATCACCCATAATGTATGATGAACCAGGGGTTACAGAGAAACCTTGTACTTGCAACACAAACATATTCTCAATGCCTCACTTGTTTTCAAGAGCTGCTGCTGTTTCAGCGCATTGAAGTATGCAAAGAAACACTCTATTTGTGACAGATCTGCTTCAAAGTTGCTTTCTGTTTCCCTCTATCCCCAGCTGTTATTACTGAAAACTTTAGTACACTTTATGATGATGTTTGAAGTACAAACTGTATAGTAGAGCATGTGTCATCTGAAATATCCACTGTTCCAAACTGGGTTAGGCAACTAGGGACATTTTGAACGAATATAGGGTATTTATTAAGAGTTCCTCCAGTCCTGCTGCTTATTCCCTACCTGAAGTCAGAAGCTTGTGATGTCCCAGACAGAACTGGCTGCTATGAAGATGATTACAATTTCACAGGGGATTGAGATTCCAAGTGCCAAACAAAGCATCAATATGCTTTTTGAAAAAAGGCCTTTAGAACTAAAAAACGAAGGAGAAGGAAAAACATGCATATGATAACACTGATTTGAAAATCAGGTATCAGAAAGCTGCATTTCACTTCCAAGCTGCACAACTACACTGGAGGCTTGAACATATTGTGCAAGAGGTGACCAAAGCCCAGAGATGACACCTAAGATGTGTAGAACAGAGTGTGATGTCCAAGAAGTATGAACACAGAAACAAAACAGACATGGAAGAAAGAGCATGCTCAGCTATAGAACACAGCAATGCACCCAAAACTTGGAAAAGGGGATGTATTTATAAAAGACCATGTATGCAATTGGCCATTGCCCTCTGTACAAAAGCTAGGTATAAGACGTATTCAAGAAATACTCAAGAATCCCCTGTGACTGTGTCAGAATTTACAAGGATTGCATTCTCACAAAAGGAATACTACATTCTTAAAATGAAGGCATACTACTAATGTGCTGCTACAGCTCCCATGGGCATGGATCCGTGGACTAGTTGGGTGCTCTTCCAAATTTTTCCTTTATCTTCACATTTTTTCTGCAGCCCAAGGTTTTTCAGGTTATCTCAGTGCTGCCTTGAACAGTGACAAAGAGCCAGGGCAGAGTTATGTGATTCTCTGCCTCTTTCTCTCCCTTTATCAAGTAACCCATTTAGAAACAAACAGTGCAAGCACATTTCTAAAGCTATACATTATAAACTGGCTCAACTAAAGGATTCAAGCACTGGCCTGCTAGCTGAAAGACAGGCCAAAAGAAATATTTTACAAGCTCCTAATTGAGGTAATGAAATATTATTGGTTCATTCTCTATGAACAAAACCAGACACTCTTAGCCTGTCCTGAACTGACACCAACATGCCACACATCAGACTGTGCAACTGATCTAGAGCTGGGCTTCACTCTAGCTATAACCATTCCCAGATTAGCTTTGGCTTTGTCACACTCCAAAATATCACCAGATTTTTATTATTTTTAATCACAGTCCCACCTCATCACCTTGTTAAACATGAAAACTAGGGCAGAAATCTGCTTGGGGAAAAAAAAAAAAAAAGGGCTTATTGGCAGGGTCAGATGATAGTAAGGAATGTGGCACCCAGGAATAAAGTGCAGTGTTAGCACAGCCCACAGCTGACAGCTACTATCTCTCTGCAGTACTGTTTGGGTTCTGAGATTTGGGGAGAGGATATGCAGAAGACTCTACTGGAGGACAAAATACCCAAAAACTCTCTCTGCAAAGGGCAACTCAAACTAGAAGGAAAGGTCCAAACCTCAGCCTATAAAGTACTTCCTAAAAGGCAAGTCACAGCACTTGGCAAGATTACTGCAAAAATATTTATCTTCTTGGCAAAGCACTTCCACCACTCACAGACAAACTAGCAAGACGATGCCTAGATAATCAGTCAGAAGCAACGCAGGGAAATAAGCTACAAGGATAAAGGAAAGGATCTCAAGTCTATCAAATGCCTAGTTTCTACATCATCCTGTCTTTGCTGAGAGGAGTTATCAGTTTCCCCCAAAGGTATGCAGGTACAGCTCTGCAGCAGCACAGCAGAGATGTTTTGGCTGGGCACCTCAGCTTGCCACATTTCACAACTGCAAATTCTAATACTTGGTGCTTTCCCTAGTCTCTTCCAGTCCTGGTAGCAGTCCAGGTGACAGGGGAGAAAAACAAACGCTATTAAGGACTCCAAGATGGGAAGAAGGAATTGACAGCAATTCACTAAAGAACAGAGCTAACTCCAAAATTAGCTAGCTGGCATGTTTCTGGCCAAGTCTAAAGGGAATGGCAGAGCTGAAAGGGCAACACTGAAATAGTAAGAGGCAATTTGTGTACTTCATGCCCAAGACTGAATAGCAGAACTTTACAGGAAGGCTTGTACCAAGCAAGTAGCCACAGGGGAGCCTTGACTCAACCTCCACTGGCATCAGCAGAAATATCACCATTACTGTGGAGCTGTCTGCAATCGCTGTTCCAGACAAGAGGCCTACAAAATCATGGGCTTTTTGTCCTACCTTTCATTCTGTTGA